AGTAAGAATCTGGTTAGATACCATATTTCTAAGATTTTCAGGGCCGAAAACAACAACCTCAGTTTTATCTGAATTAAGAAGCAGAAAGTTAGAGGCCATCCAGGCCTTTATGTCTTTAAGACATTCCTGCAGTTTAACTAATCGGTGTGTGTTATCTGGCTTCGGGTGTCATCTACATGGCAGTGAAAATGTATACTGTCTTCTAATGATGCTGCCTAAGGGAACCATGTATAATGTAAACAGAACTGGTCTTAGCACTTAACCCTGTGGACCTCCATAATTAACCTTAGTGTGTGAAGAGGACTCTTTATTTACATGCACAAATTGGAGTCTGTTAGTTAGATATGATACGGTTTGTATCATATCAAGCTCCTTAGACCCCTCTATTAGCTGTAATGTTTAGATTCGTAAAGCACGTTATGAATGAGGAGAGGAGTGTAAGGAGAGCCTATTTGATTCATCAGACCAACAAGTTGGAGTCCAACAGACCAGGGTTTCCTAAAGGATCGGATGTACAGAGGCACGCAATCAGTTGACAAAGCAGACATCCACAAAATGTGATCAGTGCTATTGTATGCAATAAAATATTCTGTCTTTTCCTCAGCTCAGCCAAACAGTTTACCACATCACAGGTTGCATGCGTATCACACCACAAACATAACCATGATTCTTACTGAAGCACTATTGAAACTCTCCATGGCACACATTGATCTGTTTTTCCTACTAACGTGCTGATGGGGTGGTGCATGTGTAGTGGGCTGTTATGTAGAATAGAATAGAATAGGATAAACCTTTATTATTATTATTATTATCCCACGGATGAGAAATTTCAGTTTTACAGAACTCTTACAGCAAGGGAAAATAAAAATATAAAAGGAAAACACAAGGTGGTCCTATATACATAAGCAACAGAGTTCGTATATACAAGTATATACAGGTAACAATGTAGAGAATATGTATAGAAAAATTGTACAGAGATATATATGAAATGTACAGTAAACAAACAAGCTGGTGAGTAAGATGACCAAAAGAATGTTAAGTTGCATTATAGAGTCTGAGAGCTGCTGGTAAGAATGACCTGCTGTAGCGCTCCTTCCTACACTGTGGGTGTAAAAGTCTACTGCTGAACAAGCTGCTCATTGCTCATACAGTCTCACACAGGGGGTGGTAGGTGTTGTCCATGATGGATGTTAGCTTAGACAACATCCTCTCTTCCCCAACCTGCTCGATGGACTTCAGCGGATAGTCCAGGACAGAGCTGGCCCTCCTGACCAGTTTGTTGAGTTTCCCCCGGTCTCTCTCTGCCATTCCACCACTCTAGCAGACCACAGCATAGAAAATAGCAGATGCCACCACAGTGTCGTAAAACGTCCTTAGTGTCCTGTTCACCCCGAAGGATCTCAGCTGCCATAGCAGGTGGAGACGACTTAGACCCTTTTTGTAAAGTGTATTTGTGTTTGTGGACCAGTCCAGTTTGTTATTGAGGTGAACACCCAGGTATTTGTACTCCTCCACCCTTTCAGTGTCCAAAACCTGGATGATCGTTGGTGTAATAGGGGATGGCTTCTTGCTGAAGTCAATCACCAGCTCCTTCATTTTGCTGGCATTGATGCGAAGATGGTTCTGTTCGCACCTGCTGACAAAGTCCTTGATGACCCCACTGTATTCCAGTTTGTTTCCCTCCGACACCCGACCCACAATGGCGGTGTCGTCTGAGAACCTCTGGAGATGGCAAGTGTTTGTGTTATAACTGAAGTCCGCAGTGTACAGAGTGAATCAGATAGGGGCAAGTGCTGTTCCCTGTGGGGCCCCCATGCTACAGACTACCACCTCAGACACACAGTCCCGCAGCCTCACATACTAGGGTCTCCTAGTGAGGTAGTCAATAATCCACAAGGAGAACTGATGGTCCACTACCGCTCCCTGCATCTTCTCCCTTAGCCCCGAGGGTTGGGTTGTATTGAAAGCACTGAAGATTTAAAAAAAAAAAAAACATGACTGTCACAGTGCACCTAGCGCTCTCCAGATGAGAGAAGGCCTGATGCAGCAGGTAGATGACAGCGTCATCCACCCCTGATGTTTGGCTGGTAGGCAAACTGCAGCGGGTCTAGATCTCTCCCGAAAAGTGGACAAAGGTGGTGTAGTATAATCCTTTCCATGGTCTTTATCAGGTATGAAGTCAGGGCAACAGGTCTGAAGTGGTTTGACTCTTTGGGGTGCGTTGTCTTAGAGACTGGCACCAAGCAGGAGGTAACAGTTGTTTGTAAACTGTTTTGGTTTGCCTAGGAATAGAGAGAATTTTTAATTTCATAAAATAGTGCTGATAACATCAGCTGACTGCACCACACACTAGGCAAAAATCAGGGTTTCTTCAGCTTATTGGTCTGGTGAACCACCTGTCACCTGACTCAAAAAGACTCCACCACACAATCCACATTCATTGGATTGATTCAAGTGCTTCACAAACCCGAACATTACAACTAACAGCTGGATTTTCTCGTATCAGTGCAGCTTGTCAAACAAGAAAGCGCCACTCACTGCTTGAGACAGAGCGTGAAAGTATATCCTCGGTTTCTTAACTTAGTGTCACAGGCTCAGGAGGGACTCCGATGCACAGAGATCAGTTAGTTTATTTTCTCACACCAAGTGCCACTATGTACAGGTGAAGGAAAGGGGTTTGAGGTCTCCAGGGGTCACGAGGGCAGTGAAGGAAAGAGAGGGGAGCGAGAAGGGACAAAATAGACAAAAACACTTGTAGCCATACAGTATGGGCTCAAATTGTGGTCATAAATATTTTGTACTTGTAAATCAGGATTTGTATGTGTAAAAAGAATTTGTGTGTGTAAAAAAGATTTGTGTGTGGACTTAGCCAAAAAATACGTGTGAAACTCTGCACTCAAGTTTCAAGTTACAAGTACAAATTTTGACCCTATTTTTCTTCCTTTTATCTGATTGGCCGATGTCATGTCAATCACAAATTTAACTATCCAATCAGTACTGACTCAGCCGAACAGGCACTGGGACCATGACACTTAGACTTATTGTTAAAGTCAAGCGCAGCACAAAAGTGATCCCTGTTGACTGATTTTCAGGTTTAGCGTTATGTTCCTCTGAGTTATTGGTTCTGTTACTAGTTAGCTAGCATAAACAAATATAAGTCGATTGACCGCAACCAATCAACCAACTCAGTAAACTAATTTTCTGTACTGACACAAGATGGGGCTCAACATTTTTAAAAACTTGAACTTTGAGTACTTATTTTTTAAATCCAGCTTCACAGACTGGGTTACATCCATGTCAGTTTATGAGTGCAGGGCCACATGATGTAAATTAGCCTTTATATATGTATAGTTATGGACATGAAACCCTCTTAAATCTTTACTGGCTGTTTTAAAATGTTATTTAGAAAAAAACAAAAAAATCATTTATCATCAAATATCTACTATCCTGCTGCAGAGCGTGTCACACTAATATTTCATTCACATAGTTCAGTTAGCCTGACTTAGCCACCTTGTCTCCTTTACTTGTCTTTAAGTCACACACTTGAACTCAGATTACCCGATTTGAATAAAAGATAAACACAAAAAAATCTTCCAATACATTAATTAAAATGTTCATCAAGAAGCAATTTAATTTAAGATCAGCATAGTCAGTGATCTTTAAGTCAGATTAAATACGGTACTTACTATGATTAAACACTTTAATAGTGTTAAAATATCAAACAGCTAACTGTGGAACATTTTTCTCTGTTTCTTCTTAGTGTTTTTTTTTTTAAATTTCACTGAAACATGAAAAACACGTGCAAAATGATGGAATCTGTATTTTACAGGAAAAGGTCGGGTTTTTAAATGCCTTCAGCAATATGGCTGCAGCAAATACACGTATTACTACCCCGATGCTTTGTTTCTGTGCTTAAATCTGTTGTCGTCTACTCGGCATCCTCTTTCAAGAAGTCTGCATCTGGGAATTGTTTTAGATTTGATCAACAAACAATAGATTCAGTCTTTCTGGGAGAAGCTGTAGCGCATCAGCCCAGTTTAACAATAAAACTGGTAAATTTATAAACCATCAGCAGTGCTTGAAGTTCACACTTCCACACTTGAATAACTGAGCTCATCTTCATTCAGAGTGGATGGATGTCAGCTGAAACTGTTTGAAGGGCTAACCTCTATCTGTTTCTTTCCCCTCTTTTTCATTTTTATGTATTTATTTTTTCATGTGTGAAACACATGAGCCCTGCGTGGCTCAGGGCTTTATGCAAAAACACTGAAATGTGTAGCTCATGTTAGAAACCTCAGAGCCGGATTTATTTACAAATATTATTTTTATATAATTTTTTTTTAAAACAAATAAGTGTGATAGTCATTTTGTCCTGATTGAACAGCACACACAGAGTCTTATATAATATACTCTCTCTGGTCAGCTCAACAAAGCTAACTGGTTTCTGATCCTTAGTGTAGTTTTACATTAACCTCTCTGCTCTATGCTG